AGGCATTTGATTTTTGCGATGATGCTCTTTTTTGGGGGGGGACCAGATCTCAACATAGACCAAAGTGATTCTTCAAGGAATGAAACACTGCAGCAAAATGGCCTGAGCCAATCGGGCTTTCTCAATGATGAGAGGTTTTGTTTTTGTTTTTGTTTTTTTTCCGTAAGTATCAGGAGCTTCAAATGGCTAACTAAGCACATAAGAGGTTTAGAGCCATCCTCATAGCCTCATGACCAAGTATGAAGGCAAATGTCAGGATGAATCCTACGACACATTTAAACATTTATGTGTAAGCCCATACAGAAACAGTCCTGTAATATGTTTATAAGCTCAATGATGTCCATCTCTCAGCCCTTTCAAGTTCACATCCTGTATGAAAGATTTACTTGAGGAAATGTGACAGTGTTCCAGTCCCGGGATGCTGCTAAGATCATAGTTGGATTTAGGCAATGAGTTCTCTAAGTCACTGACTGAACACAGGGCTGGGTGAGAATTAAGCCTTGGGCTCCATTCTGCATAAGAATGAAGGATTGTGCTCCCTTGGCTTAGGTTCTAGAACATTTTCTTACCAAGAGGTAAAGAGCCCACACGGCTTGTGCTAGGCTTACCGCCTCTTTTTGCTCCATCAAACACATTTTTATCTCCAGCCTCTTTTCTCTCATCTTCTAATATTTTCATGTCTTCTTTTTCGGATCCTGTTAACTCACTTAAGCTTTCCCCCTATGTCTTCAACTTCTCCTCCCTACTGTCTTACCTTTTACGCGTCTTCAATCATGCACAAACTGGTATCTACTTCTTTTGCTTCCCTTGTAAAGGCTTTTGCTCAAGTCACTGAGAATCAAATTACTTTTTTTTTTTTTAATCTGAGTCATTTACAGAGTTAGTATATTAATTAAGGTAGGTGATGATATGCTGTGGAAACCAACTCCTAAATCTTTTTTTATTTTTTTTTTATGTTTTATTTATTTCTAGGGGAGAGAGAGAGAGAGAGAGAGACAGTGTGAGCAGGGGAGGGTCAGAGAGAGAAGGAGTCACAGACTGAAACAGGCTCCAGCCTCCGAGCCAGCAGTCAGCACAGAGCCCGACGCGGGGCTCGAACCCACGAACCGCGAGATCATGACCTAAGCGAAAGTCGGTCGCTCAACCGACTAAGCCACCCAGGCGCCCCCCAACTCCTAAATCTTAATGGCATTACCCAATAAGAGTTTATTTTTTGCTTATGTGATGATCTACTTATGTAAATAATCACCTTGTGTGACTTCTCTGTGGTGATTCAGGGACATAGACTGCTTTCATCTTGTGGTCCCACCATACCCTGGGGACTTCATCCCCTGGACCTCTACATCTGGCAGCTAAAGAGCAAAGAGTAGAGGACTGTGTGGGTCCTTAGGGGACAGAATGGGAAGAGATATACATCACTTCTCCTCTTATTCCATTGGCCAAACACAGTCTGAAAGGCAGGCTAGGAAATGCACTGGAGCTGTTTGTCCAGTTGAAAAATAAACTGCTGGGTATATAGCAATTCTTAACCAAAATCTGTCATTTTTGAAACTTTCTCTCGCTTGACTTCCAAGGCTCCCTTCTCTTTTCTGGTTCCAGTTTTCAAATATTCATTGTTCATTTTCAGTCTCCTTCAAGGATCTTCTTTCTTTTATCCGTTCCCTTAACATTGGTATTCTCCAGCCTTCGTCTCTTGGCTCATTTCTCTTCTCACTATACCATTCCCCCTGGAGGTTCTCACAAACAACCAGAATGTCTGTCTCCATCATTCTGTTCACATGTCCACGTAAAACCTGCTTCTCATGAGTCCCCATCCTGATGAAGCAGGGCATCTACTCAGTCATTAAACCAGAAAACTAGAAGTGATCCTACATTCTCCCCTTTTCCTCTATAACCAAGGTTTCTCAATCACCACACCATTGACATTTCAGCCTGGGTAATTCTTTGTTGTTGTCCTGTGAATTGTAGGATGGTTAGCAGCATCCCTGGCTTCCAGCTAGTAGGTGCCAGTGTCTAAGCTCCCCATCTTCTCATAGAGTTATGGCAGCCAACGGTATGCCCAAACATTGCCAAAAATCTCTTGAATAGGAAAGGGATCACCTCCAGTTGAGAACTACATCATCTGGTCCTATAGATTCAACCTTTGTAATATTTATCCCCTCCATTCCATTTTCTTGCCATTAATTTTATAACTTCCACATCATTTTGTGTCTGTATTTCTCCAACTGTCTCCTATCTGTGGCAAGTTGGCTGACCCAACAGTTCCTCTTAACTCGAGTCTGCATCGCCTGCTCCCACTACAGAACAAGAGAATACTGGCCCTTGCATGGACAGATGACACCATTTAGCATGGCAACTAGGTCTGTGAAGAGAGTGGCAGTTGGACTTAAAGGTTCTAAGTCCTTGGAATCATGTGGTTTAGATTGTATCTCAACTTTATCACTCTGGTGGTGGTGTTGCTTTAGGAAAGTTACTTAAATTTTCTATGCCTCATCAGTAACGTTGGGATAAAAATAGTACCAGCCTTATAGAATTACTATGAAGTTGAACAGGTTAATAGGGACAAACTGTTTAGTCTATAATTGGCCAAATGTAAACACTGAATAAATGGTGGCTATGATTTAGGACTGGCAGGGACGATGTAATCTCTCTTTTCCTTGCTAACCTCAAAGGTTACTACTTCAGAGCCCATCCCCAACTTTTAAGACTCAGTTTACAGGAATCCTACACTGGAGATTTTCTCTCATTTGTCCTTCTAAATTACAATCCCTTTCTTAGATATTATTTGTTTTTCTCCCTCACTAAGCTATGAACCACTACAAAGCAAGGACCAGAACTTTCTTTTCTATATATATTCCCAGGACCACCAAAAGTGCTCAATAAATATGAAATGCTCAGGAAAAGTTTGCTGACTATATCAGTAAGTGAATGAATATTAATAATATATACCAGCCTTGCAGATAACTTTCCTTCTATTTGGCAGCAGGTAAGGAGGGTGGATTTCTAGAAAGCTTTGGACATCCCTACTGTAAATGAAACACAAATCAACCAGGAGAATTTTTAAAAGAAAGTTTATCTTACTAGCCCGGCAATTCTGTCCAGCTCTTAAGTAAATTGAAGATAGGAACCATATTATTATTATTAGGATACAGAGGAAACTATACATGTAACTCCAAACCTTTCACACATCCTTTAAAAATCTTATTTTATTTATTTTTTAATGTTTTATTTATTTCTAGAGAGAGAGAGAGAGACAGCGTGAGCAGGGGAGGGTCAGAGAGAGAGGGAGTCACAGACTCTGAAATAGACTCCAGGCTCCGAGCTGGCAGTCAGCACAGAGCCCGACGCGGGGCTCGAACCTATGAACCGCGAGATCATGACCTAAGCGAAAGTCGGACGCTTAACCGACTAAGCCACCCAGGCGCCCCTAAAAATCTTATTTTAAATAAATTCACTTGAATTTGCACAGGATCATAGCAATGGGAATTGTTAACCGACAGAGAAGACACAGTTTTAAAACTCCATTGATACAGTTTCTAAAATGAGAAGCTTTAAATTGCCTTGTGGTTAAAGGAACTTTTAACCACACACACACACACACACACACACACACACACACACACCCACCCCACACACACCCTTTTCCGTCTGCCCAGTCTCTAACAGGCTGTTCATAAATTGGAAACTACCCAAATTTCTAGGGGGGATAAAAGAGCAACTGTAATCCTAAATAATTCAGTGTTCTCATCCTGGGCTCTGTGGAGGAGGAGCCAGGAAAAGTGGGTGGTGGCTTTTCTTCCTGGGGTTTGGACCCAAATATTTAACCACCTTCAACTGGGATCCCTTTCTCTAGATCAGAATTTATTGAAGCATTTCTTCTGAAGTGATTCCTAAATGAAATCTTTTTAAAAAGCGACTGGAGGGTCGCCTGGGTGGCTCAGTCGGTTAAGTGTCAGACTCGGGCTCAGGTCATGATCTCATAGTTCTTGAGTTCGAGCCCCGTTGGGCTCGGTGCTGACAGCTCAGAGCCTGGAGCCTGCTTCAGATACTGTGTCTCCCTCTCTGCCCCTCCCCTGCTCACACTTTCTCTCACTGTCTCTCAAAAATAAATAAACATTAAAAATAAATAAATAAAAAGCGACTGGAAACGAATCACTAGAACCTCCGAAATTTCTTAAAAAGTAGCCAAGAAAAGCTCACATCTCATACGCAACCCACTCTTTAAAACCGTGCATCTATCTGTAAAACAGTCCCAGGAGCACTCGAGACTCTGTTTGATAACTACAGCCTTTCAAGCCGCTCGGGACTGTTCGCTTCTCCAGGATGCCCGTCGGTTCCTGAAAAAGTGACCTCAACGCTGGAGAGCCAGGGTTTGCCCAACAGGTGGTCTGCGGAACGCTCTCCAGAAGCGAGCGCAGCCCGCCGTCCGGGCACTCCTGGAGGGCGGCCGCGCGCCCTGGCGCCCCGGGGGGCTGCATGGGCTCCAGAGCAGGGGCTCGGGCCGCGGGCAGGGGCTGAGCGCGGCCGGTTCACGCCGCCTCCACGCCCACCTCCTCCCGCGACGCGTCCCCTCCCGCTGCCAAAGCTCAGACTCTCGGGGCCGGCCTTATTGTTGGCCGCGTCTGTCACTTTGTGGGCCGGATGACATGAATGGATGGGCTGGACACACCTTCCAGCCTTCTAGAAAGAGAGGGAGGGGGGGAAAAAAAAACCCGTCCGGATCTGCATAGGGAGCGGGAGCGACTTCCCCGGCGCCCCCAGAGCCTGCGCCTCGGGCCAGGGACACGCACAGCTTCCCCCTCCCACACTCACTCCTCCCACCCTTTAAGAAAACGCCCAATCCAAATAAATAATATCGCTCCAAGCCTGCCGGCGTCCTCGGTGCCGTCTCCTCCTTCCTGGGCTCGGCGCGCGACGGTTCCGCGGGCGGCGGCGGCGCAGGCCCGGCGCGGGGCGCGGAGCCGGAGGCGGGCGCGCAGGCGGCGCGCGGGCGCCGCACTATGCTCCCCAGCGCCGTGGCGGCGCACGCCGGCGCGTACTGGGACGTGGTGGCGTCCTCCGCGCTCCTCAACTTCCCCGCGGCGCCGGGCTTCGGCACCCTGGGCAAGAGTTTCCTGATCGAGAACTTGCTGCGGGCTGGGGGCGCCCCGCCGCACGGGCTGCAGCCGACGCCGCACCACGGCCCGGCGTCCGCTCTAGTCGCCGCCGCCGCCGCCGCCGCCGGCGCGCAGGTCCGGCCCCTGCCGGCCAGCCCCGTGCCGCTCAAGCTGTGCCCCGCGGCCGAACCGCTCAGCCCCGGCGGAGCGCCGTACGGCGCGCGCTGGGCTTTCCAAGTGCTCAGCCCCTCGGCGGACGGCGCCAGGCTGCCGGGCCGGGCTCCGGGGGACCGAGACTCGACCTTCCAGCCGTCAGCCCCAGGTGAGCCAGCTCTTTCCTCCCCAGCCGCGCCCGGCGCCTGCTGCCCCGCGGGTCCGGGGTCCGCGCTCGCGGCGCTGCGTCCGGATGCGTCCCGGCCCCGGGACCTTCCTCGAGCGTCTCGAGCTTTAGTGGAGATGCCACTTGGCGGGTGAATAGGGTACCACCACTGACTGGGACACCCGCTCCACTCCCGTCGCGTCCCACCAGCTTCCCCTCTGTCTCCTTTCAACAAGTGGTAGGGCTGCCTAGATTTTCAGGCCTTTCCGGAGAAACCTTGAATGCATCGCATGGGGTGAGCGGGAAGGGGCAGCGGTAGTCCCGAGATCTCCGGGTTCGCCGGACCGGTTTTACCCGGCGCCCCAAGTTCAGCGTTTCTGCCCGCCGCCTCCTGCCCCGGAGGCCGCGCGACACCAGCACCCTGGGAAGTGGTTGGCGAGGAGACGTTCCCGCGGCCAGCTTTGGGGCTTTTGCTTCTCAATCTGCAGCGAAGGCCGGGTCAGTTCAAGAACGCTCGCAAAGAGTTTTGGAGGAGGAGTTGCGCAAACTTTCGGCTTTCTCCGTTCTTAACATTTGGGATCATCGAGGCGCAAGGGCGACTTTTTCTTCGTGCTGAGCTGAAACAGACGCATTGGCACCTGGAATAGGAAGTTCACCGATAAATGGGAATTTACCAAAAGAAAGGCAGTTTTGGTTTGTTTTAGTTTTTGGGTAAAACCTAAGCGGTGTGATTGGGATGAGGATGTGGACGGGTTAATCACGTATTAGCTAAAGCGTATGGAGGGCAGCTGAATGTGCGGTGAAAAAAAGAAGGCTTTTAGAAACTCAGAAGCTGAGAGTTGGATTATTATTAATTTTTTTTGGCTGCGTCCTTAGACGATCTTAACTCATTCTTTTAATCCCGATGGGTTTGTCCAGAATGACTAATAGATGCTTTTTCAGCAGATTCCATTGTCCCAGCAAACTGCCAGATCAAATTTATTGCTAATGGCTTTATAGAACTTAACATGTTTAGAACCTGTCCTGGACTTTCAGTTTGAAATGGTTACTAACAGAATGGAACAAATATAATTATATGAGTACCGGTCTCATTCACATAAGTAAAATCTAACTGGGAAGCCTTTTGCATCTAGGGAAAGGAGCAAATACAGCTGAAGGCAAAGTTTATGTTTCTTGGTAATTTGGGCCAATCTGGTATTTTTAAAGTATTTGGAAAATTAGAAACGTATAGAGTAGTTTCACCTAGACAAGAGGTTAGGAAATAATGTTGTGTCATTAAAAATTACAGTTTCAAAAAATTGGTGATTTGCATAATTTTCAGTGGTTTGGCACTGTGTTCACAGAAATTATTTTTTAATGATTCTTAACTTGCTCTTATCATGATTGGCTACGCAACCAGAGAAAATTACTTAATTTTCCCCTTTGTAGATTTTACAGGTTAAATTCAAATAAACCAAATGCAAATCAAAGGCAGATATTTCAGTAACTGAACAAGAGGTTTGTATATCTGTTTCATTCAAAATATTGCAATTATTGGATAAAGGGTCTCCTAACTACAAAAGATTTTTAAGGATATATTCATCCTTGTACACTTATTAAGGTGTCAGAATGCAAAAATGTTTTTCTTTTGGAATAGTTAAGACAATACAAGAATTTATGTTTCCCTTTGAAGTATTCTAATACAGTTTGAGCATATATTTTTTCCTGGTGTTTTATTGAGCCCTCATTGAAGATTTGATAATCTCCTAGATTAATTTTCATTTGAACAAATAACTTTTATTTTAAAAATTAAAATAATTAAAAATTAGTCTTCTAAGGGATGTATTTAATTTTTGAATCTACAAAAGTATTTTAAGAAAATTGAAACTCTATATTTGTGCTCACAAATCTGCTTAAAACCAGCATTTACATTCATTTATCTTTGTAATTTGACACAGAATATAGTTTTCTGAACATTGCCCTAGTTTTATTTAAGTGACAAGATTTTTGTCCTACCAAATGTTGTGGGAATTCTTTTCTACTGTGTGGAATTATGAAGTTTTAATGAGTACTGACAAGGTTACTATCACCTGAAAATTAGCTGACTGATGATATAGTGATTGATATTCTGTAGAGAGTATCGAGGAGATAGAAGAGCCACTGTTTTTGAAAAGATAACAGTTATTTCTTTATATTTCTTTCTGAAATGTCAGTGAACAACCACTTCTGACCCTTTAGACACTTATTTAGGAGTGGATCACAAAATGGGATTTTTAATCATTTCAGCATATTGACTACTTTTTTTTCAATCTTAACTTGGTTGAGTGAACCAATCTAAATGTCGAATGAGAAAACCCCAGACTTTTTTATTGGTGCCTTGTGAAATGCAGAACCATTTAACACAAGGATTTATGCCACCACATGCATTTCTGCTTCATTATCTTTCTTACCCATTTTTAATGATATCTTCTATTTCATTTGTTCAGCAAGTGCTTACCAAGTATCTCCCATGTGCCAAGCTCTGTCTAAGCCATTGGGATAGTCATTGCACAAAACGGATGGCTGTCCCTGCCTTGTGGGACTTACATTCCATGTTTGTGCTGCTGTATGGCTTACCAAGCATTTTCATAGTTGTTAGCTGGGACTTTAATTTTCATAGAGGCCAGTTTTTTTTTTTTTTCCTACGATGATTACTTCACTTGCTAATTTTGTTTTTGTTAGAAGTAACAGTGGAAACATCTGTGGACATGTGAAAGAGAAAAACATTGCCCCAAATCTTCATATTCCTTATATGAGTCTTTCACTGAAGATCAGAAGCTAGTGATAACCGGCTACATGTGTCACAATAATAAATCAGATTGTAGTTTCGTATGTGAGCCCATAAGGAAAGAAATTGGCCTTCCTGTTTGTCTTGCTGTGGATCTGCAAGGTGATGACAGTTAAGCAGTAACACATATTTACAGGTAATAAATGAGAGGATAGCTGTCAGTTTTTCATCCCTGGAAGTTGGCAAGCCTTTGAATATTTAGAGTAGGAAAAAGACCCTCCATAGCTATATGCTGTCAAGTTGCTTATATATAAAACAGTTGTATGTATATAAGTAGTTTAAAAACTCTGGAAATCATAGGGCATTTCTCAAGGTTGGAGAGGGGCACAGTTAGTGCAATAGAAGGTAGTAAAGATAGAAGGTAGATCCAGGGTTGAATCCTTGGATCTATTATAATTTATTAGGAGAAACCAGGAGGTTCTGCAAGTAAATTAGAATCAGAGATCCTTTCTCAAAAGTTCATTTATGTTGTTATTGGGTGAATATTGTGCTAGATTAAAATACTCATTTTTATATATAAAAGAGACCCTTGAAATGTAAAAAGCTGAAAAATTTAAATTTCTCTTGGTTATGTCACCAGTTTTATTCAAAATAAGTGGAAATAGCCTTGCCTTTTAATAGCATTTGTTATTTAAACATTTTAAAAAACTTTTGACATAAAGGTAATTTTCCAAATGTAATTTATTGATTATTGGAGCTACTCCTTTTAAGGATTAGAAAGCACATGTTTCTTCTCGATAGTTGAGTTCTTTTTTTTTTTTTTTTTGTAATTAATTTTGTCAGGTAAGTTGTACTGTGTAGTACAGAAATTGAACCAGATCTGTAGCATTTTTCTGGTCCTTTGTTAGGATTGCTTCTTACCATTAATACTTAAATATGCATCCTCGTTTCCTTGCCCACTTCCCAGTTCTAGATACTATTTACCTGTTAATCCATGACTGTCTTAAACTAATTGCACTTAATGTTTTGTCTAGTCCAACTTGAAGACTTTGTGATCTGATTTAGTAAGCCAGAGTTTGTCATTTATTTTTTCCTACTGCTTTGCTTTAGATTTGTTTTGGCAGATTAAAATCACAGAATCTTGAATGTTGGTGATGCTGACCCAGAACCAGGACAGAGAATGGAAAATCCGGCAAAGGTGTTTCCTTCTTCAGGCTGTCAGCTCAACCATTGCTTTGGTGGGATTTGTAGATAATACTGAACCATGTTATTACTACATGTGTGTATTTTTTGTATCTTCTTAACATGTCTTTGGATTTATATTAACATATTAATAGAAACATAGTAACTAACAATAACTTTACAGAGTTCATGAGAATCAGCTCAAGTTAATGAACTCCTTCAGATTCAAGGAGAAATTCTTGCAGTGAAGAGAGTAAGACTAATAGACAGTCCCTTCCCTTCTAGTGGTGACCCAGTTAAGACACCCTCCTTACAGAATAACACCTGAGCTGGAGCTACAACAAGGTAACAATTTATGTGCGTTGAATTTGCCCCTGATTTAGCAGGGATCTCACTCCCAACCCCTAACATGTGCTTCTCTACTCCACTTTAGCAACAAGGAATCTCAATCTGTTGACAGGTATTGATGTTTAATAATAAAACAGGAGTAAATCCAGCAGGCAAGTAGGAACATTTTAGAACTTTCCCCTTACCTCTTACTGACTTAAGGGAGTCGAGGATTATTTTAAGGTGGTTTGGGGCGCCTGGGTGGCTTAGTTGGTTAAGCGGTTAAGAGTCGGACTCTTGATTTCAGCCCAGGTCATGATCTCACAGGGTTCAAGGTTGCCAGTCTCGCCACTTGGGATTCTCTGTCTTCCCCTCTCTCTCTGCTCCTCCCCAACTCCCCTGCTGTCAAGGGTGCATGCATATTCTCTCTCTCTCTCTCTCTCTCTCAAAAATAAATAGAGAAAAGAGCACAGTAGTTTGAATTCCCAGACAATTGTGTACACATTTGTGCATAAATAAACATAGGATTCAGAGAGTTCAGGGTTCCATGCCAGAAGCCAAAGGGTGCCATATGTTATGGGCAGTTTAAAAGGATTGTTGACAGTGGTTTTATCCACATTTGTTTGCCATAAATGTGCCTATACATTGGAACCAAAGCTGTGCATGAGACTCTGTTGTATCCCTGTTTGAGTGTGCCACCTTCTTCCTGTTCTTGTGCCCACCAGAAAAAAGTCTTCTTTGCTGTAAG